AGAAGAGGAATATTTTTTCGGTAAAAGTTATCGCGCTTAGAATGTAAGATCACAGAAGCACCTTTTAACTAAGATCTTTTTGTGGGTGTTGGAATATTTTCCTTTTATTTTTCAAAAAATCCTCTCTTAAGATCAATAAGAGGACTCCACTAAATACGAAATCATATTGTTTTGGGTGTAGTTACTTCACATATCTCATGTGTTTACTTTACATATCTCATGTAAGACATGTCAGACTTGAGTTTAGAGTTAGATCTTTAGAGGTATCATTTTTTCAGTGGAATCACGATTGCAAAAATACAATGTCACGCGTGACATGTGACTCAACGAAAGAGTTCAGACGTTACTCTGAAATTCAGATCCGAGCAACTCGCACGAGACAAGCTTCAAGTAACGACTATTAATAGTCTTAGTGTGTCTCGAATATAGTAATATAAATCGCGGTGAAAAATGGCCTCTCTCCTTCACGCTCGTGAAGAAGAAGCCACGCCAGATTCCCCGCGAGAGCCGTCATTAGAATCAAGCTCAATGGTGCCGAGGCACTCCGCACTTTCGATCCGTTGAAAATAATCGCACCCCCGCAGCTCCCAGGCTGATTTCACCAGTATTTCGTTCTTGTAGGGCCTCTAGAGATATTGGATACCTCGCGGTATTGATGGTGCCGAACATCCATAATCGGAGATATATGCCGACGAATGCATCGCGCAAATTGCGCTGCGGGCGGGTATCCGGCTAAAAGCACTTTGTCCCCCGTCGGCGAATACCGCGGATATCTACTTTGTCCTGCGAAACGCGTCTGATCCATTATTCAAAATGGAGAGCCGCCGGCGCGGGCCAACTGGCGTACGAGATCGCGAGACGGTTTGAAGAGGCTCAAATATTAGCCCGCTGCTATTTTTCTCGAGACTTTTGCCGTTGAATAGAACCATCTGTGGTTCGCGCGTCTATCCATGTATACGTGTGTGTGTGTATCCGAATCTTTAAGGAACGACTCGAGAAGCAAAGTCGACGAGAAAGTGACGAAAATCGTATGGTTGTTGTCAGATTTTATTACGCGATTTTATTAAGCGTCTCTTAATTAGAGCGTTAATTCTGATCTACGTACACTGAGAGAAGAAATATTTTAAAAATAATATTTATATTTGGTAAATATTAATAACATATTTACTTCAATCTAAATTTTCTTTTATTGAAATAAGATAAACAATTGTTTTCGTGAAAAGTCAAGGTTTTCTTGAAATTAAGAAAGTATACATCTTCTTATTTGAAAAATATTGTATATTAATATATAAGTAAATATATGTATCCACCGGATAAATATATATTATTTCTTAGATAACTTTTCTCTCAGTGTAGTGGCTAATCCTTCGACTAAAATGTTGTCTATTCAATTTAGAAACCGCTCGGTTAAAAAAAGGACAAAATAAAATAAAAGTTACATCAGAGTTTTTTAGTTTAATCATATGTTATACGTGTCATCATATTTTTGTAATCGTGATTCTACTGGAAACGCGTGTAACTAGACTCAAGTGAGCAAATAAACAAATAATGATTTATGAAACAATTTGTGCACGCGAGAAAATATATCGCGGCATAACCAGAATAATCGCTAATTATTTCAAATCATATGTCAGTGTACCGTATCATACTCCAGATTGACTGAACCATATCATTAACTAATCATGCTGCATAAAAGTAGACGGGTATTCGTAACAAGTTGCGCGCAATCGACATACAGAAAAAGAGGAAAATATTTTTCACTTAGCCGTGTGCGTATGCTTTCCGCTGCGAGCACTCGTGAATACGCAAATATTCGCTACAACTCGTTTGCTCGTTCCACGTATCCGCGCTGAGAACAAGTTTTTTTCCCTCCTATCCTCGCATCCCGAACAAATAGTCTGAACTTGTTTAATTTCCTAGAAGTTCATGCACGAAATAGTTCAATCGGCGCTCGCAGAAAAGAATCATCGGCGAAACAGGGAAACTCGCGGATCGAGCGAACCCACGAAACGTTCAAACGTCACGCTGAAAATGTTCGGGAAGCGGGACACCCGGTACAAGCGGCTTCTTCCACGGCGAGTCACGACGGATCAAAGGATCAATTTAAAGGCGGTCGCTCGGTATCGTGTGTGCGTACGTCGTCACCAAAAACAATTTCGCCTTATTAAAAGCCCCAGCGTGACGTAAAGCTGACGAGTTAACGAGCCGCCGGCTTGTTTCTCGTACGCCATATGTACCGGGTGAGTCGTATGTAACAACCAATCATCGTTATTTTATGAAATGTGGAAGTCTTTACGAAATTGGAAACTGCGCGCGGATTAATCGCAGCAAAATTTCGCGTGTCTCGTAAATTAAAGAGAGCGTTCTGGTTGGAAAGATTGCAAGAAAAGGTACTTTTCCTAACTTTTTGTAGGAAAACGGTAAAATCAAATAACTTTCTTTACATGTTCTTTAAATTTTATTTTAAAATATGTTTTTATATTGTGTAAATAACAAAAACTTTCTTCTTCTGCATGTTATACCTGGTTATTAGAAGAGCTCGCAAAAAGAAAATGTAAACGGGCAATATAAGTGATTATGACTTTTTTAGATATCTGAAACGTAAAAATCAAAAATCTTATTCAGAAAAGAAGTGTGGCTATCGTTTGAACTAGCAATTAGACCAATATCACCATTCTAGATAGCAGCCTTTTATTAGAAAATTTTTCTTTTTGCCTAAAGTATTATTAGTGTTTTGTTAAAAAAAAATGTAATAAACGTATAATATTTCTCCTAGTTCAAACGATAGCTGCACTTCTCCTAAGTGAGAAAACTTTTTGCGTTTCAGATATCTAAAAGAACCATAATCACTTATACCGTCCATATGTGTTTTTTTGCGGACTCCTAGTGATCAGGATATAATATATAAAAGAAGAGCGTTCTTTGTTACTTGGACAATAAAAATATATTTCTAAAATAGATTAAAGTAATATGCAAAATTTGGCATTATTAGATTTTTCGTTTCCTTGCAAGAGGAATAATATCTTTTTTGTGACTTTCAAATCCAGAATACCTTAAAAAGGACGTACGCAACGTTACTTTTCACGCAGCGTGCATTTGACATTAGAGCCTGTCGAGTCTTGCGCGGGATATTAATGCTGCACGTACGTATGTCCGGCAGAGAGACTTAAAATCAGAGAGCCGGATTTAGCGGCGAATTCCTTCGCGTATAAGGCGAAGCGCGCGCGCGTTTCTTGACGCTTTGAGAGAATGGTGATTTTGTGTCTTTAAATATATTAACATTAATATCCCGTCCGCGACGGCCGCTTTCTGGCCACTTTTCGACGACGGCACAAACGCGTGACTTACGAGAAATAAAGTAAGCTCTGTTTGTACTTGCCGAATACCCAATTATCATTACGGAGCGAACGGTGTCTTAATTGGCGCGCAGTTCCGCGCTAAAAGTACGAAAGTACGGGCGATAATCAGAAATAAGTAACGCCGATAATGTCAGATATGTCAACGTTGTAACGTTGATGGACGTTAAGAGGCTCGCAAATACTACAGATACGTCCGCGCTGCGCGCGTCCACGAATCCGCCAAGAATAGCTCTGGCTCTCTTGTAAAAATAATAACTTATGTACACCGCAGCGCCACGGTGGATTCGGTGTCTGAATTCATGATGGGGAACACGAAGCCGGAGTCTCTTTCAGGGACCTACTTTCCAAGTTTCCTCCTCGGGTCGTTTACGGATCTGCTTCGCGACGCAAATCAGATCGATTTGCAGACCCAGGCGTCGGCAATTAGCACCGCGTGCGTGCCGCGCATCTCATTTCGACATTTGCAGAGTCACGAACGTGCCCCTGGTATATCGTGCTAAGTGCACGCGCGATCTTTCGCGTTTGCACATTCCTTTAGGAGAACTGCAAGAAAAGAAAACTGATGCGCCTCGACACGATGACGTCGACGGCGGCGGAAGGATCCACAGATCGCGAGCAGGCTGCTGTCAAGTCTATCTTGCGTGCCCATCGCGAAATTATTCGCACCGCGCTGTGTTTCGCGAGAGATTACGCAAGGAGTCGAGTGCGCGTGCGCGACGTCGGGAGAGCGCGGCCCGCGATTAATTATTAAACGAGCGCGAGAGTGAAGTTACGCGCCTCGGTGCGGGATAACCGATAGATTACATAAGACCATTTAGCGTTAATCGAAAACGTCGTACTTAGATTGGATCGAATGGATGACTCGGAAAAATAGCTTTCCACGCGAGGAGGGCGGCGCGACGCGTACAAATGCGACGGCCTGACGATCGAAACTGCGTGTCCAACCGACGAACCGGGATCTCCCTTCATCGTGATTCCGTCGCATTATTCGGAGGTAAAAGCGCGCGGTTTCTACATCGTGAGTCTCCTTATTCCGGACCACTTACGCGATCACTCCCCGACGTAGATTAACATAAAATGATAAAATCAAATTTCCGCCGCGACCTCACCCTCATTTATCAAATCACGAAAAATCCGCGTTATCTCTCTCCTTTCCCGTCTCCTCCTAGCTTTTCATATAAATTGTATGTTTAATAATCTCTCTCTCTCCATCTCTGTCTCTTTCTGAATTTTCATATTATAAAATATGGAACAAAACATAGCCCGAGTTGCAAATATATACACGAAGAGAATTTTATAGTAACATATAGTACTGTGCAATAATTCATCGCTGCTTACACACTTTAGGAGCTGGAATGTGCTATTAAAATACTCGCTATATTTCTAGCGAAATTTACCATGTTCCTTAGCAAGACAAACCGTACTGACAGCTTGTTTTCCTGACCGCCAAAAACATAGTAAAATTGAAAAGAACTTATATGAAACAAAACTATAATATTTTCTCCGCGCAAACAAATCCTCGGGATTAGGAGGGACAATTCGACATTTTCGTCGACGTGTCCCAGAGTTTTTCTCAGGGATTTCCGTGTTGTGGGGAATATACTGTGTGTTGTGCAATCTACATTCATCACATACACTCACCTCAGAGTTGCTGGTGGCGACGCTGGACAGACCCGGAGACATGGCGCCGGTGGCGGGGTCCGGGCTGGCCGAGACCACGGGGTTACCGTGCGACAGCAGCGCGGGGGCGTGCGGGTACGAGGCGAGATGAGGATGCTGCGGCTTCGGGTGATGCAGCTGCGGGCCGGGCGGTGCACTTTGCACCACCATTGGGACGGGCGGCGGCCCGGCGTCGGCTGGAGTCCTGCCGCCCTCGCTGCCGGCGCTGCCGACGACCGCATTGCCGCCGTCGCCACCCCCGCGAAACGACTCGTGCAGGTACTGGCGCACCTGATTCTTCTGCTTCTGCACCACGTGGTAGCGCGTCGGATTTTCCAACAACGTCCGCACCTGGAGAAAACGGCGCGTATAACGTAACGTGAAGAGCCGTCGGGCAGCGCGCAAAATCGGCGAATCGCAGTTGGAACCATCTCTTTACGAACGTTGCTACTTGTTGCTCTTTAATTTATGGGAAATTACGTGATACCGATGATTTCTAATTTATTAAGCGCGTTACATTGTCGAAATAATCTAGTTACAACAAAATGAAATAAGTGGGATTACAGAAGATATTTTAATGTCAAACAAAGGTCTAAGGACTGAGTTGACTTTCGTTAAGGACTATAATTTTAACAAGATAGCCGTTACGTACTTGAATATGATTAGCCAATTCGCTTACTGCTCGAGTCTGAAGGATCGTCTACAATGCGGTCGCAGTTACGGCTTAAAGCCGTAGCACTAGTCTGTGAATCGATCATGTGCCTATTTCCTTCGCGTAAACTCGTAAAAAATGAAAAGTTCTATTGAATTCGTCAATGACACTTTTCATTTTTCACGAATCTGCGCGAAAGAAACAGATGCACGATCGATTCACAGACTAATGCTACGATTCTAAAACGTAACTGCGACCGCATTGCAGACAATCCTTCACCATTTTTTTATATGCTGCCACTTTAGCCCTTAATTATCCCTAAAGATCGTGAATCTTGCGTGAAGGCAAATCCACACGAAATTGTCGCGAATTCGGGGGTAGTACGTCGCTGACGCGCCCAAGCTTTCACGAATGCGCGACAACCATGTTGCGTGAAGCTAATTGCTAGATAAACCATCGACGCGACTCTCGCATCTACCGCCTCTCGTTGCGCTTCCTCCAACCCTCCCACCCTACTGAACATTATTCCGGGAGGTTTAGCGGTATAGACACGGTGTACCGAATAGATCTATTAATGGGAGAGACGCTACAGAACACAGTTCGCCTTACCGCGATACGGCAAACTGCTGGGACCTCGAAACTATAAGATAATCGTTATCTTAGCCGTCGTTTCTCTCTCGCCCTCCCTCCTCCACCTCATACCCGTTCACGTACTTCGAGATCCCCGAAATATCTATATACGCGGAGTCTTAAGCGACGGAAACGCAAACGATGGTAACCGGATGCTTGACCCTTCGTCGTTCGGAGAACAATGCTTTATTCGAGAAGACCGTTCCCCGTTGGCTTTGGGTACTCCCGTGAGTGAAGTCTAACAAAAAGTCTCCTTCTTTGAATTTAATACGAGACCTTGCTTCAACGTTACACGATAGAAAGTGAAGGAAGAAAACTGAGACGGTTAACAAGGGTCGAAGCGTCTCTACTTTTTTGTAACCATAAGATACAATATAACGGCGTTGTGCAATGACTATTCTCACGCAAGAACAGATAACGGTGCATTCTCGGAGTGTAACATATTAATTATACTGTATAATAAATGACGATGCAATACGATCACCGGAAGAAAAGAATCAGGTAAAAAGAACCAACTATCAAGGTTACGTAAATATTTAGTTGCGCCGCAATTGCAGTCGACTCTGATGTTACTCTTGTCTCACACAAACAAGTAGTTAATAGAACACCGAAGTTTTCTATAAATATTACAAAAAATTAATTAATTAATTATTAATAAATAATTAAGGCGAATTCGCCACGCGCAACCCTGAAATTGAGTTCGCGATTCGAGTTGCTACGATTTGTTTCTTGTTTGTAGTGCAGTTTTGCAAATCTGATGTAATTTTGAGAGGCGACTTCCAGCATTGAATTATTTAATTAGTACACTCACGAGCTCGCAATACAACCGGTCTCTCAATCTGCGCGCGAGTAATTTAGCACCGACCATGCGAATCGAAGCGATAGATGATAATAACGGAGCACATACTTGCAATACTTGCGGCGGCACATCCACGCCAATGGTGGGCAATGGCGTAGGTGGCACTGGTCTGGGCGGTGCGGCAGCTGGCCTCTGCTGCTGCAAGCTCTGCCGGAATTCCGCCTCTCGTCTCTCCTGCTCATGCAGCTGCTCCCGCATCAGCTGCAGCTTCAATTGCGTGCGCGACGTCGGCGTCGCTGTTTTGAACGTCGGCGGGCTGAAAAACCGATATTTCGTTCACGTAAGACCTTATCCTGCTGTGTCGTCTTCTCGCCGACGCGGTATACTTTCGCGATTTATATCCGCACTATCTCGCACACGCGCGAGTTAACGCGGGTTGGCCGTATCAGCTGTATCCCCGAAGTGGAAGTAACAATCTAATAGTCTAAAATTTCTCCGCCAGAATACGTGAAATTAAGGCTCCTGGTCCATCGTCGCGGAACTCTTGATCGATAACGCCAGAAGCAAAAAAATGCGTGCCCAAAACTCTTGCAAAGTACGTCGAAATAAGAAGATGCATCCAAAACATGGCAATCAAGTAGGCACACCTCTAAAAATACTGTGAACATTTTCCTTTTGTTCTGACAATCAATAAATAACCGTAAAATTAACGTGAGATATGCACAACTTTCCATCCTAACTTATATTTCATTATTCCATTATCTTCATTATCCTTATTATTTTATGTTAATTTTACAGTTATTTATTAATTATTAGAGCAAAAGGAGAATGTTTTGAATATTTCAAAAGTGTACTTAATTGATTAAAAATGTCATATCTTTTTATTTACTCGCAATTTTGCAGGAATTTTTGGGGTATACACTTTCTCGCTTCTAACGTTCTAATCTTCATTATCCTCATTATTTTATGTTAATTTTACAGTTATTTATTAATTATTAGAGCAAAAGGAGAATGTTTTGAATATTTCAAAAGTGTACTTAATTGATTAAAAATGTCATATCTTTTTATTTACTCGCAATTTTGCAGGAATTTTTGGGGCATGCACTTTCTCGCTTCTAACGTCATAAATAAAGATATCAGCAACCTTAAAGTCACGTATTGTTCCGCGTTTGACAGAACAAAAGTAATTCACACAGTATCCGCGTAATTGTATTATTTAAACGTTTCTATAAAAACATTATTCGAATTTATATTAAAAAAAGAGAGATAGCTAATTATAAAAACAAATATATCATTGTAATAAATAAATAAAAGTTTAAATATAATCTAAATAATCTCTAATAATCTCTAGATAAATAATCTAAACGAATAAATGGATAAGAAAAAGACATAATTAATTATAAAAAATGAAATATTCTACAATAAAGATATTCTCTTAACAATAAGGATGTATGAACTATACATAATAAAATTATGTATAGTTATATTTCTTAGTTATCGAATGTAATCGAGGAATTCGAATTCGATTTGAAATGTAATTATTTTGATAGCGTTTAACGCGTGCAACCAGACTTCTCGATGACGCGAACGTTTTCATCGCTATTGTCGTTGCAAGTCGAAGCGAGTGACGTTACATCTCGGTTTCTCGGGACGATCAGTTACGACGGTCGCGCGTTCGTTGTCGATAAATGCGCGAGAATGCTTAGCGTACCAGTTGAGCGAGTGTATCGAGTCCCAAGTCCGAGAGACGACGCCAATTAATCTCGTAGCGCAAACACTATTGCATCGAACTATCTTCGTGGCGACAACAAGGAATCCCGTAAAGCGAGTTGGTCGATACGCGGCATCCAAGTAGATATGACGTTAATGGAGAGATGCGATAGGCGAATAATAGGCACGTCGCTCATAATTCGCGTCGCGTCGCATCGTGACGAGAAACGTCAATCTAATTCGTCGAAAAAATCGCGCCGAAATTTTTGTGATATGCGGCGAGAAGCTTATCTTGACAGTATATTTTATCTTTTATAAATGTATAATTATATATGCATAATTATATATTATATATATTTCTTAAAATAGTTAAAAATATATATATATATACATATATAAAATTCTAGCATAATATATCCGCAACTCCAAATCACGAAGTAATCTGGCTCGTTTTGATGAGTGCGTATCGAAACATTCACGTTCAAGATGTATTACACATATAAAACAGCAAATATATTTAAAATAAGTATCTTACAAAGGTGAGCACGAATCCAAATGGAACTCGTGTAAATAAAGTAGTTATTGATTGAAACGGAACATGATTGTTAATATACGCGTTCCCCATTAACATGACGAATTGTGTAGTATCGCCGGATAGCTGCAAAAAATAAATGAATATTCCAAAGCAGGCAACGTGTAAAAAAAAATAAATTCAACGGCTGATATTACGTGCGAGAGCGCAAAAGAGAAATAAAAGAAAGACGAAACGACGCCTCGAAGTTAACTCGCTCGGGCAAATAGGCACGGAATTTTCTTTATTAATGTCCCGGCCGCGCTTCCAAAATGGTGTTAGCGAATTAATGGTGCCATGATTCGGACGTAGAGTCGAGTGATGGTATTACCGAGTCTTGGCAGCGCTGCTGCTCCGGCGATATTCGCGCAGAATCGTCCGAATTCGCGGATAGCGAAACGGTCGTATGATTCACTGCGCATTTAATTTATAGTGAATCGGTAGCCATTGAAATAAGTAGGAACTTCTTTGTTGCGAATATTGAGTACTGCAAACGAATAAAAAAAAAATAACGTACGAATATCTCACGAACACACGAAAACGCGACACGATCGTTTTAATTGCTTAATCCGTGCACGATTAATCGAATGAAATCGTTCGCCTTCGCGCCACTAGCGTTGTAAGTGTGTGTCATCATGTATGTGCGCGAAACGTTCGTTTCACCGTCGGCTAAAGGACATTCTCAATTCGGGAACAAAGCCAAAATCTGGCCATAAGAAGACCAAAATAGAGAGGTTGCGCAATTTGGATCGAGCGTCAGTTCCCGTCGAGTATGAGACAATCCCTCCCCCCCCCCCCCC